CACACACACACAGCCCTGAGAAGCCAGAGGGGCACACGTGTGTGCATAAACACAGACATGCAGGAATACACGTCATGGGACCACAAGTACACACACACATACACACACACACATACACACACACACACACGGAGCCCTGAGAAGCCAGAGGGGCACACGTGTGTGCATAAACACAGACATGCAGGAATACACGTCATGGGACCACAAGTACACACACACACACACACACACACACACACACACACACACAGAGCCCTGAGAAGCCAGAGGGGCACACGTGTGTGCATAAACACAGACATGCAGGAATACATGGCCCACAGGACATAGAGACATGGATGGACACAGACACACAGACACATAGACACACACACACACACACACACACACACACACACACACACACGGAGAAAATCTCACAAATAGAACCCAAAGAGAGCTGTTATGTGACACTTCCAAACAGGCACAGAGTCATACCCAGACACATATGAACTCCACAGAGGGATGGGTGCCCCTCCACCACGCACACACAGGCATAAACACACGTGTAACTATGCACACCGTCAGCGCCCATGCACCTCAGGCCTGAGGGCCCTCCAAGAAGTCTTAACCAAGAGGCTGAATTACAACTTGCCCTCAACTCAGACCAGCTGGTTCTGTCCAGAATTATCTAGGCCCAGATCATTCTGGTTGATTCTGGGTCCTCCAGCACCTCTGGGGCTTCCATCAGGGAGGGCTGGACACTGTTCCCTGCTGTCTGCTTGGAGCTTGGCTCGCATCTGAGCCCACAGGCCAAGAGGACAAGAGATGTCTTCAGGGACAACCTGCAGGTGTCAGGGCCACAGGGCCAGCGTTGATCACTGGTGACGGGCCAGGGTTGCCCTGGCTCCCAGCAGGACCCTGGAGGCCCATCACGTATGTAGGAGCTGACATACACACCTGCACATGCCAGGGTTCTGTGTGTACACACCTCAGGGCACCCGGCTCGGATGGAACTCGTAGCCATAGATCAGCCAGGAGTCCCTTCTTGCCACCATCTGTCACTTCTGCACAGCAGCCACAGGGTTAAAATGTAAGCAGCTGGCTAGCTCAAAACATAGGGAAAGCAGGGCTTGGGAGAGACAACCTGGATGACAAATGGAGACTTAAGATAGACTGATGTAATAGCAGCTCAGGGCTGGAAGACCCATTATCCTGGGGGACTGGGAGGGGTGGGAACCACTGAGGTTCCCGAAGAACATGGATGTACCCCCCGGTGACTGAGCACCTTTCCAAGGGCTCAAGGCTGGCCCTCATTTAGCTTGGGTCAGCTGACATGCCCCTGTCATGTAAACACACACGCTTCCTGCTCACGGAAACCCCAGGGCCCTAGGAAACTAGGGCACAGAGATGGGGCTCTGATCGCACCGCCTCTCCCAAGAGCCTCCTCAATGCAGATGGCTGACCCTGCCGCCTGCAGGTGGTTCCTGCCAGCTTGGCCTGTCCTGGTAGGGCCAGCGTCAGGCTGCCACACAGCAGCCTGGGTCAGAACTGTTCAGCCCAGTATCTGATACAGCTCGGACCACAGCACTGCTCACAAGACCTGTGCCCGGTAGATACTGCGAAGGGGGAAGCCCATCACAGCCAGCGCATTCCCAACCACCCTCAAGGGGGCTGCCATCCCAACGTACAGGCAGAGGTAGGCTGCCTGTGGCTCACACTACCAAGGAGGGTATCAGTTTTCCAGGAAGGTGCCCGTGGACAGCCACCTCCAGGGATCACTGCCCAGAGGTGTTCACACACCCTAGGTCATGCCCAGGCCCATCGCAGCTGGGGTCTAAGAGGAGCCCAAGTACTATGCATCCTAGGAAGGCAACAGGGGTGCAAGACTAGGGAGCAGGGGTATAGGATATGGGAGGGAGGGACCCGATGAAGCTCTACTCTTGGTTTAGGCAAGTTGCCTCTGTAGAGTTCACTAAGCTTGTAAGCCAGGGTCCCCACTCTGGCTCACCCCTGGTCTCCTTTATAGTACCCAGCAGGAGCCCCAGGGTGAAGCTGTAGGGGCTGTCCCACTGGGTAATTAATGGGTTAATTACATACTCCATAAAAGCAGTGTGATTTAGAGTGGCCAGGCAGGCCCCATAGCTGGCAGTAAACCAGAGGCTGCAGAGGTGAGGCAGGCAGGTCTAAGCCCTGGCCTGCAAAGAGCCAAAATGCTGTAAATCTACAGAAACGGCTTTTACGGAGCTCTGGGTTTTATGATGTCATTAATGTTCCTCCTGACACTTTAAGTCATGAGGAGGCATGGGGGCCACTCCTGAAGGCCCATGAGTACCAGTGCCAGGAGCCACTGCCATCTCAAGCATAACAGACAAGCCCAGCTCTCATTTCTTTGTGGTGTTGTTGGTGGTGGTGGTTGTAAGGCTTGAACTCTGGGCTTGGGCACTATCCCTCAGCTCTTCAGCTCAAGGCGAGCGCTCTACCACTTGAGCCACAGCGCCACTTCTGGTTTTCTGGTGGTTTATTGGAGATAAGAGTCTCACAGACTTTCCTGCCCAGGCTGGATTTGAACTGCGATCCTCAGATCTCAGCCTCCTGAGTAGCTAGGATGACAGGCGTGAGCCACGGGCACCCAGCTTCCAGCTCCCATTTCTGAGGCCATCCACACGGCAAATGAGCAGGGTGTCATGCCCCTTGTGGGCCTGGGTGTGCTTGCAGATATAGGGACACTAAGCTCCTGCAAAGCAGATGAAGGAAGCATGCACCTGGCTCTCCATGAGCCACAGCCCACCATTCAGGCTGCATGCCCATCTCCAACCCATCTCCCACAAGTAGTGCCACTCCCTGGATGTCATCCCAGATGGCATCTTCGACACTGAACACCTTCCAGGTCCCCGTGGAACCCGAGGCCAGTACTTGCTACCCACAGGTAGCCTGGCTCCTCAGCTCCTGGCACCTGTGAGGGGAGCCCTGCCCTCAGAGTGTTCCTGGGCAGTATGCTCCCGGCCAGTTTTTGCCAGACATGTCTACCCGCCACTGGCCCCACAGCCGTTGGGTATGAACCATCCAGGCTCTGGAAGGACAAGTCCCAGGGTGGTGGAGCACCAGGTGGAGAGCTGCTAGGCAGGCGCGCTGGGGTGGTCCCGTGGCTGGGACAAGGGCAGCAGGAAGGGGGAGCTGGGAGACTTACAGAGTAGCCTCTCCCGGAAACGGCCTGTGCTGAGCTCTGCAGGAGGAAGAAGGAGACATTAGTGACAGCTGATGTCCAGCCCAAGCGCCCGCAGCCTGAGCTCCAGCAGTGCGGCCTCAGACAGGCCGGCAGACTTGGGGCACGACTACCAGACCCAGGCATGGCTGGCTGTCGTACCAGGGATACCTCGGGACCTTTCATTTTGGGTCCGGTCGTGCGGCCTGAACTCTGGGCCTGGGCGCTGTCCCTCAGCTCTTCAGCTTAAGGCTAGCGCTCTACCACTTGAGCCACAGCGCCACTTCCGGCTTTTTTTTTCTTTTTGCTTATGTGGTGCTGAGGAATGGAACCCAGGGCCTCAGGCATGCAAGGCAAGCGCTCTACCACTGAGCCACCTTCCCAGCCCCACCTTGGGACCTTTCTGAAAGCAATACAGCCCCTGTAGCTGTTCCTGGCCTCTAGGAGGCTCAGGAGGGGGCACCATCCTGCAGAGGTTGCCACACAGAGACACTTGTGGACGATCCTCAGCCCCTCCAGGGGCCAAGGACACTGACCATCACCCCAACATGAAGCAAAAAGACCTTGGAAGGCAGGCCCTACCTCCCACCCACGTGTGCAGCCTAAGGTGAGAACTTGGGCTCTCCTTCAGTGCCCCTTCTCTGCCTAAGTCCACAGAAAAGCTTCTTGGAGTTGCAGTGGACCAAGACTCTGAAGGAAGGTCACAATAGGAGGCTGAAAGGCAGCTGGTGGTCATGAGAGGTCCAGGTGAGGGCCTGGCAGCATGGTCTGAGTGGCCATTTAAGCTCCACTGGGACAAAGCCATACATGCAGCCATGTAGAAGAGGCTGTGGCCAGCAGGGCATGGGCAAAGGGCTGAGCTGTAGAGGGGCATGCAGCTGGTTGGTGCCTGGGAGGGGCAGGGATGATGTCAGCAGGCATGTCAGGGGACAGGGTGCAGAGGCTGGAGGAGGGTCAGCAGAGGGAAGCAGGGCTGGCGTGCTCAGCTGCCACCTCCTCCCCACCCCTGCAGAACGGGGGACCTCCGCCCATCCCACCGTGTGGCTGCCATGGCCGGGCCAACGGGGGGAGGAGGGGGTGCTGTCAGACAGAGTCTACTGGAACCCCGGCACTCTGGCCCAGACCCTGGCTAATGAGGTGGGGGTGGGACTGTGGCTGGTGAGTTGTCAGCCTTAAGCTGGCTGTGCTCAGAATGTGTCTTCATTCATCCTGGGCAGCAATTAAAGGCATGCTAACTAGGGCAGCCCACAGCCCTAGACAATTACCAGCCTATTTTCCCATCTTATGGCAACAAGATCAGAGCCTGACAATTATGCTCCCCTCAGGGCTGCAGGCTGCACCCCCAGACCCTCATTTAGATGATAATGAGACTGGTCTCATTCAATCTTCAGGAGCAAGGTACGGGTGTCAGCGTGGTTACCTTCTGGGTTGGAGAGCTCCCGGCCTCCACCCCAGCCCTGGAGGGGTCTGTGCAAAGTCTGGAGTCAGAACCTAGCAATCCTGGCTGTGCTCGTCGGGCGCCGTCCCGGGCTCTCAGTGACCCTGAAGGTGTGTCTCCAACTGAGATCACTGCAGGAACGTTTCTGCTCTATACCTCCAACCTATGCACCCACAACAAGACGGCCAGACCTCCACCCTGCTGTGGCCAACGTCAGTCCCAGACTGGCGTCCCTATGGATAACTTCAGTGGGAAAGCCCTAATCAGTACGAAACCACAAAATGGCCAGTGCCCATGAGCTCCCTCCATGTAACTTTAGGGCCCGGAGTGAGACCTTCAGCAGGACTCCACCCGTAATACTGGGGTGCACTGGGTACTCACGTCGCTGAGCTGGTCTCGGGAGCTGCTCCGCTGGGAGCTGGTGGCTTCGAGGACACTGTCTTCGTCGCTGTTCTGGTCACCCCCTCTGGACATGGCAACCTTTGTCTGGGGACAGGGAAAGACAGCCTCAGGCAAACCTGCCCTTACCTATCTGTAGCAGGGCTCCTGGCACACACAACACTGCACTTGACCTGATCCTACTCCATCCCCAGGCCTCCCTCAACCACTGGGACCCAACAGGTTCTAGGGCCTAATCTGCCAGTTGGGGGTGGTGGACACTGCCCCCTGCCCCCATCTCCAAGCCGTGGACCTGGAGTCAGATGGAAGGAAAGCAAGAGGGGCAGAGCGCTACAGAGCAGGGAAGCTCACTGACTGGCTGGTTCCATGGGATGGGATGGGAGAGAAATGCCTTTGGTAAAGTGTATTCAAGGTGCTATTCAAGCTATTCTCATTTTCTCAAGCCCCTAACTTAAAAGATATCCTGTAGACCATGAGGACTCCTGTCCCCACGACAGCCTGGCTCTCCTCCTGCCAAGGCTGCCCAACTTGGGCAGCTCCTCCCTAGTCAGCTCCCTAGGAAGCTGTCATAAGGACACTACCAAGACTCAGTGCCCAGTGTTTCCTTCAGTTGGCACTACAACCCCCTCACGGTGGCTCCTCTGTACCTCAACCTGCTGTCTGTAAAACAGCTGACACAGTGCTGTGGGCACAAGCACGTGAGGCCAGCTGAATGGCATATTCTGGCCTCAGTGTTTTGCATGGGTAAACGCTTGCCCTGACAAGAACCTATTTTCAATTCCACCTTTTTTTTTTTTTTTTTGGTCGTGGGGCCTGAACTCTGGGCCTGGGCGCTGTCCCTCAGCTCTTCAGCTCAAGGCTAGCGCTCTACCACTTGAGCTACTGCGCCACTTCTGGCTTTTTCTGTTTACGTGGTGCTGAGGAATTGAACCCAGGGCCTCATGCCTGTGAGGCAAGCATTCTACCACTGAGCCACCTTCCCAGCCCCTTCAATTCCACTTGATAGACAGGAAACAGGCCTGGGGAGGAGAAGCAGCCAGGCAGGGCTAGACCCAGAGCACTGCTTGTGTGCACCTTTAACCTGAAAATGACTTCACACCTGCACAAAAATGAGGGAAATGAGCCAGCACCAGTGGCTCACACCTGTAATCCTAGCTACTCAGGAGGCTTAGATCTGAGGATCATGGTTCAAAGCCAGCCCCGGCAGGAAAGTCTGTGAGAAAACGGGAAGTGGCACTGTGGCTCAAGCGATAGGGAAGTGGCACTGTGGCTCAAGCGGTAGAGCGCTCGCCTTGAGCTGAAGAGCTGAGGGACAGCGCCCAGGCCCAGAGTTCAAGCCCCATGACCGACCAAAAAAAAAAAAAAGTGAGGAAAATGACAAATACCAGGCCCCAGTGTGAATGTGCCATCCCAGACATTCACTTACACAGCAAGCTGCCTCTGTCACCAGCTGCTGAGGCTGAGCACTCTCGTGTGCTTGGTCTCCTTACAAACATGCTGAGAGCACAGGTTCCAGCCAGAGAGACACTACGGGCCATGTGGAGGAGCAGGACGGGTGCCGCCTCCCACCTCCCTAGAGCCACTTGTAGAGCTCGGCCAAGTCTGTGGTCAGAGTCCAGTCATTTTGACACGAGCACGTGCCAGCCCTGAAACCTATCCAGGAACCAGTCTGGTTGGCTGGGGACCGCCAGAACTCCCCATGTCTGCCAATTTCCGAGGTCAGGCTAGAGTCCCCCAGCCCCACCCCCAAGGGCTTTGGGATTCCAGGAGTTCAGCACTCCTTTCCTCATGAGGCCGGCAGACTGCCAAGGCCCACACAGAACCAGAGCCGTTCAGACGCAGACAGGGCCCCAGGGAGAAGAGATTCCGGTCTGTGTTCAGGGTAGAGGCCAGAGTGCAGCTGAACTTGAGCCACCTCGGGAGCCAGTACTCCTCTTGTCCCTGCCCGGACCCCACCAGGCTTTCTCTCCTCTTACCCCAGTGCTAACCCTGGCAATGCCAGTCATGTTCAAGGTCTTCCTGCCTATTACCCGCACAGCTGGACCCAGGACTGGGAATGTAGCTTAGTGGTAGAGTGCTTGCCTGGCCTGCGTGAAGCCTTGGGTTCGATTCCTCAGTACCATATACACAGAAAAGGCTAGAATTGGCACAGTGGCTCAAGTAGTAGAGTGCTAGCCTTGAGCAAAAAAGCTCAGGGACAGTGCCCAGGCGCAGAGGTCAAGCCCCAGGACTGGGGAATGGGGGGGGGGGGGGGGTAAGAAAGGTTGGACCAAAGTCACTACATGCACCAAAGATCTGGTACAAAGCTGCTGAGTACAGCTGCGGGGCTGCTCGCTGCCCAAGGACACAGGGGAGGAAGGATGAGCGGAATACCCATTCCTACAATTAGCAGGACACTGCTTCGCAGTACAGAGAGGGGCCCCCTCCCTCCAATGGGACATGGAGGCAGGTCCCTACTCCGACTCAATAATGGAGCCCTGCAGGTGGCATGAGCTGTGGACTGTTGCTCTTCCTTAGATGACTGTTTGTCGGAAGGCCCTACTCCCTATACAATTCTGCAAAGCTGAATCTTGTATCCTAGAAATAATCCCAATCACAGACCCAGTCACACGAAGTACACACATACCGTCATATACATGCCCATAAAATCTATGGGTAACACCATTTGTTGTCCACGCTGTTCCTCTAGCATCTGCCCTCCTGCTCTGTGCACTTGCATGGGTATACATGGCCCCTTGGACCTCACAGCCCCTCTAAGCAGGCCGAGCGACACAAGAGAAACAACACAGCATGCTGCACACACATGTTCCACGTGCATGGACACGCGTGCTCTGGCCTCCCCGCCATTCCTCGCATACCTCTGCTTCCAACTCTGAGAGCACTTGAGACTGCTGGGCCTGCTATAGACAATGGTCACCCACCAGGAGCCTTCCAGGGGCTGTACCCCTGAAGTGCAGCTTAGAGACTTGCCCAAGCTCCCCCGTCTTAGGCCAAGCAGCATGATGTTGGAAGGAGCTGAGCTGTGACCATCCCAAAGTGTTCTGCTGCTCCGCCTCACCACCCTGCTCTTCCTAGGCCTGAGCCCCAACTTCTCATGTATTCTCTAAACCCTGGCACAGATGCCACAAAGCTGAGCGCAGGTCCTGGCCGGCCTGGCTCCTCACCAAACTGAGTGCAGGGCCCTAGGCCTTGCCCTGATTGCTCCCTCCCTGAGGTCTCATGCAGCACAGGGATGAACTCACCATTCTGCTGGGAACCGCCTGCCTGGTATGCCCACAGGCCTAGCCACCCTAAGGCCTAACCATGGTGCTTTCCATGTCTATTCTGTTAATCATGCTTAGCACAGTGCTGACTCTCACACCTGTCCCCCACAGGCATCCAACTTCGCCTAGACTTCAGGTGCTGAGCCCTACGTGAGGTGGGTCACCCTGTAACCACTGGCCCCACGACCCTCCTTGCTGCTGCTTTTGGCGGTACTGGGGCTTGAAGTCAGGGCCTGGGCTTGCCAGGCACCACTTAAGCTACTCCTTTGGGCTTTTGTTGTTGTTTGTCATGGGGCTTGAACCCAGGGCCTGGGCCTTGTGCCTGAGCTCTTTCACTCGAATCTAGTGCTCTACCACTTTGAGTCACAGTGCCACTTTCAGTTTTCTGGTGGTTAGTTGGAGATAAAAAGCCTCATGGACTTTCCTGTCTGGGCTGGCTTTGAACTGCAATCCTCAGGCTCAGCTTCCTGAGGAGCTAGGATTACAGGCTTGGGCCATCAGTGCCTAGCCGAGCCTTTTGTTTTTTTAGTGTTTTTTGGGGTCTCACACTAACTTTGCCTGCGATCATAAACCACGATCCTCCTACCTCGGCTCCCTGAGTGTAAGGGACCAGAAGCATGTACCATCATGCCCAGCCACACCCTGCCCCACCACGTTAGTTCGGTTTACTCCCGACTCCCACCCCAAGGGCAGGAGGTTGCTTTGGTCACTGGTTGTCACATGGAAATATTTCCTCAAGGATATGGCTCACAAGGTCCAGCCTTGCAGTGGGAAGCTATGAGCACTGTGATCAAGGTCTAGCTTCTTAAGTTGCTCTTGGTTCAATTGGCGCCTGCATGGCTTACTCTGCTCAGGTCACAGGGACCCAGCAGGCTTCAGAGGCTTCCGCCTGTCTCCCTGAAGAGCTGTCCACCGTCGCAACCAGGGGACACTGCCAGCCCCAAATGCACAGGCCTGTGGCCATTCTGCCCCTTGCCCTCTTGAGTCATTCAGGCCCACACATTCAGACTACACCAGCCCTGTCTTTGGGGAGGGGCAGGCACGGTGCATGCTTCACTACTCTTGGTACAACAGAGCTAGCCAACTGTGTCAGTGGCAGCTGCCAGAGACTCTCCCCAGCCCACCCCCAGATGGACAGACAAGTCAGGTTCTGCCAGGGCCATGATTCAAATCCTAGGTTCCCCCATGCACACCCAAAGGGAGCACAGTCCTGCTGAGTGGACACTGCTAAACAGCACAAAACTGGCCACTGTGGGGCAGGCGCCGAGGGAACCTGGGCTCCACCACCGTTCACAGGTGCCCCCACCCAAGGCTGAAGTAAGAGTACCACCGAGTGGACGGCCCTCCCTAGCCAGGCCAGAGGGGCACAGGACGGGCTCCCTGGAGCTTCCTCTGCTGAGAAGTTATGGCCAGGAGCCAAATCTAGTCGTAGAAGCTCCTCTGTAAGAGGACACAATTTTTTCTTTTTAAATTACAAACACTACTATTAAAAATAATCACATGGCACTTTTTATTCTCTTTAATCAAAAAAACAAGCCCTGAATTCATGGGATGGAGGCCTTAGGTGAGCACCAGAAAGGGGACCTAGCCAGGGTGGGCAAGGCTCAGAGCTGCCAGGGCTGGGGGATGGGGCCAGGCTGCAGGGCCTAGCGTCCTCACAAGTAGGGAAGGGAAAAGCTGAGCGTTAGCAGTGCACGGGCACAGAACCGGGGATCCCTAGTCTTCTGCCTGTCAACAGCACGTTGTGGGCTCCCGCAGGGCCTGGGGAGTCTCAGGAAGGCCCCCCATCCTCTGGACACCAGCTCCTCTTGAGCACACCCTTGCAGACTCCAGGAGACCTGAGTGGAGCTCTGGGGCAGGGGAGGGCTCTGGGCAGGAGTAGGTAACCCTCACTACAGGTGGCAGGCTGTGAACAGGCAGGTATAGGACAGTCTTTTGAGGAGCAACCTTTACAGGTAAGGCCAGTCTGAAAGAGGGCAGCCAAGAACAGAACCAAACACAGCCAAGGACGAGGTCTGGAGAGAGTGGAACTTGCCCTGAAGATTCCGGCAGCTGCTCTACTGTTGCCCCACTGGGCCAAGGCAGCCCCCCAAGAGGCAGACCTGGTCCCGCCCATCTTGCAGTTGGAGAACCCTCCTCAGGCAGGTGCCAGAAGAGCACTGTGGCCTGAAACCTGGTCCTCAGAGCTCACCTGTTGGCCAGTTCACCTAGGCTATTCTACGTGGAGGCAGAGGGTGCAGAGGCCAGAAAGAGTGGGCCCAGACAAGTGAGTCCTGGGCTGACTCGCCCATCACACATGTCAACATGCCCTGGTACACCACACAGACACACACACGCATACCTGCATACCTACACACATATGAAGACTCAAGAGATGCAGAGACAGTGTTAGCAGTTTAGAGGCACAGAGAGTTGTTGAGGGGCTCAATGGGCTTCCAGCCCTGAGGGTGGCTGTGTGTCCTTTCCCAGAGGGTGTATATCACAAAGCAACACACACGGGGAAACGGTGACACCAAGAGGCCCTGACATGTGGTGGCGGTGGGGGTGGTAAGATTCTGGATACATCTCCTCTCTCCTGATTGGCACAGCTGGGGTCCTTGCCTCAGGTCAGTCCAGCAAAGCATCTCTAGCCTGCAGGGCTAGGGACGCTGGCCCTAAGGACCCCATGAACAAGGTTCACCCAAGGTGGCCTGCAAAATTCATCCAGGGAAGTACCTGTGGGCATCAGGCTCCAGGGCTTACAGATGGAGCATGGCGGACCACCCCTGGGGCAGAGTATCGAGTCCACCGAGACCTCAGGGGCCGACAGGGATGGCCCAGAGTCAGGAGTGAAGGCTGGGACTGACGGGTGGGCACCAGGTCTAGCAAGGACTGCCGCCTTGGCTGGCACAGGGGTCTCAGGAGAGGCTGACGGGACAGGCCTGGCTGTCCTAGAAGCGAAGGGCGATCAGGGATGGGAAGCAATGGCTGTGGTTTTCGGGGCTGGCCTGGGCCCAGAAGACAGCGCAAGGGCTGGCAGGGATTCTCTGAGCCCATGAGTGGCCGCTTGGGCGTCTGGGGCTGCTCTGGGCTCAGGAGGGGTCGTTTCTGTTGGTGTGACTGTCTGGGGCCCATTAGGGAAGGTTTGGGAGGGATAGTCTGCTCTGGGCCTTCAACTGATTGCTGGGGCTGTCTGAGGCTCAGCAGTGACGGCTGGGGGGGGTGGGGGTGGCCAAGGAGGGACCTCTGGGGCTGGCTATGCCGACGATGGGCTAGAAGTGCCTGCCGGGGGCAGCAGCACTGGCCGACAAAGGATCTGGCAGGTTGGTGGCATGGGTGCATGATGAAGAGTGACTGTGATGGCCGGCACTGCCGGCACTGGGCCACTGGGGCCCGCAGAGGCCGGCAGCAATGCCACTCGGCCATCTGGGGCCGGCAAGGGTGACAGGGAGGCAACAGGGACCGCAGTGGGCGGCAGAGGTGACAGGTGGTCAGCAGGGACCGCAGTGGACGGCAGCGGTGCCCGGGAGCAGACAGGGACCGCAGGCGCTGGCTGCGTAGCCTAGGGCCTGGGAGGGCCCAGAGGGGCCTGCAGGGCTGTGCCAGGCGTGAATGCTGGTCCTGGCAGAGCAGATCTGGGGCTGGAACCAGGCGCTGGGGCCGGCAGTGCTGACCGGGGCCCAGAAGAGACCGCCGGGGCTGGCCAGGCTGTTTCAGGCCTAGAAGTGAGCGCTGGGGCCAGCTGTGCTGACCCAGGGGTGGCTGTTGTGGCTGGCAGGGTTCCCCAGGGTCCGGGGATGCCCGACGGGGCTGGCAGCGCTGACACGGGGCTGGGAGGGGCCCCTGGGGCTGGCTGGGCTGGCTGGGCTGGCGCTGTTGCTGTTGCTGGGCCGGACTGTTCTGATGCCAAGGGCTGGCTGGGAGCGGCCCCCCTTCTGGGGAGCACACCTGCATGGAAGAAAGAGCATGTGTCCACCTGGGCAGGTGTGCCTGCAGACCCCCCGTCCAGCCCAGGTCCCTGAGACATGCTGCTCCCTTGGCAGAGTCCAGTTCCCAAGAGAGCTCAAAGTAGAGCCTGCAACACTCTGAGCCCCTCTCTGAAGAAAAGGTGTGGACTCTAGGTCTCCATGAAGAACACAGCTGCAGCAATGAGTCGTGCCCGGGCCTGGCCCAGGGCTCAGGGCAGCGCTAGCCCAGCTTCTACTTTCCCTAGCAGTCTTTTCCTGGTCTCAGCCCTAACCCATCCAGCAAACAGCCCTCTTTCCTGGTCGCACCTGGACCACTAACCACAAGTCCTGTGCCTCAACAGCCCTTCTCCCCTGCCAAGGTTTGGCAGACAGCACAACATGCACAGCCTGGGACCCAGAACTGTGCCTAGAACTGTGCCCAACCTCCACGTTCCTACAGACAGCCTGGGCACCCTGGATACCTAGTCGGCGGAACCTGACAGACGCAGCGGGAGACGGGGCCAGCCTAGCCACTTGGCACTGTCACCTACTCTGGACAGCCTGGGAAAGGCAGCAGCACTGGCCCAGCAGGCCTCTCCAGCGGGGCCGGGGCAAGTTCTTGCACCGCTACAGCCAGCCTAGCCCCTGCTTGTCTGCCCTGAGCCTGACAACGATGGAGGGTGTTGCCAGGCAGGTGAGACTCTGATGGGTTAGTGTCCAGGTGCTGTGCGGCCTCGGGGAAGACCCAGTCACAGTGCCCAAGGGGAGGGACCAGGCACTCACCTGCTTGGAGGGCTGTAGTGGAACCTTCCTGGCCCCTTCATCACACTGAGGATCCAAGTCCTGCCCTGGGCTGCCCATCTCCAGGGACTGCCTGTTCTCGCTGGGCTCTGCAGATGGGCAGCTTTCCAACTCCCGGGGTTTCTTGATGAGGCGACGCTCCCACCTCTCTTTCCGCTCGTGTGGCTTCAGGGCCATATCCTTCTGCAGGGAGAGATAGGGAAAGCCTATCACTTGGGAGGACCCTGAGGGGGGCACACTTCTGAGCTCAGGAGGAAATTCAGGGCCTCTGTCCCTCACACCTGGTAGGCTCCTCTTGCCAGTTCTTACCTGGCCTAAATGCATCTCCACCTGGACAACATGCAGTCTCCAATCTCATTCCTATCTGCCCCTAGGGCCTTAGCCTCTGTTCTCGCACGCATGGCTGGCTTCCCCCACCTGCCACTTCACTTGAAGTTGCCTTCCCCCTTGCTTTTTCTCTGGACTGTGGTGTGCCTCCATTCAGACAACGTACCATGCATGCTCCATCAGATGTCTGGAGGCCTTCATCTGCCCCTGTCCCAGCACAGCAGCTCCGAAGGCAGCCTCCACCCACCACCCCGGTGAGGGGCAAAGTGCTCCCGCAGCCAAGCAAAGTGGAATGAATCCCAGCTCTCCACCCAAACCCGTCTCTCTGCCTGGCTCATACCATGTGGCGGCCCCTGTCTATGCGCCCAGTGTCAACTGGCTACTATGTGTCATATGCACTCCAGAGTCACATCCCACGGCCTCACTGACCCCTCACCTACTCCAAAGGCGCCAGACCACGCTGGCTATGTCCCAGTTCTAGGACTCTGCTGTTGGCTCTTGGCTTTCACCCTCATACCCACAACCCAGCAGGGCTGCCACATGAAGCAGTGACACATTTGCCCACACTACCACTAGGCTGGGGTCCAGCTGGGGCAGGACATCAGAGTGTCAGAGGCCTAGGCATAGCTGGTACTGCTGTAAACTGCACACTCACATACCTCCCCCGCGAGGCCCTGTGAAAGGCCTTCATTCTTTCAAACCTCTGTCTAGATCCTGCACTGTGCCTAGCACCATCTGGTTAGAGGGATCACCTGGAGAAAACGTAGATGGCTACAGGCAGTGCTACCTAGACAGGAGCCAAAGTCAGGTGGGGCAACACAGGGGACAGTGGCCTGGTATCTGAATCAGCCACTGTCCGGCCCTACGGGGACCTTTACAGATTGCTGCCTCAGTCAATGTCCATCCAGGCAAGTGATTCTGGGGTCTGAGCCCAGTCTCTGTGCTCTGAGCCTAATGTAGTTTTTTTTTCTTTCACTTCCAACTTGCCCTTCAATCCCAGCATCTTCTTTTGGCAGAATTTCTCTTGGCTCAAGGCTGAGCAGGACAAAGGAAATCCCCCAAGGGTGACAATTTGCAGGGGTGGAATACTGGTAGGTAGCCTTCCAGGCCTGACCCATGATGTTACCCAGCTTTCTCGTGGATCTAGGTTCTGCATGATCTAAACACATGAGCTTTTCCACAGCTAAAAAGAGAAAGAAAGGGCTGGGAAGGTAGCTCAGTGGTGAGTGCTTTGCCTAGCATGCATGAAGCTCTGGGTTTGATTCCTCAGTACCACATAAACAGAAAATGCTGGAAGTAGTGCTGGGGCTCAAGTGGTACAGTGCTAGCCTTGAGCTGTAGAGTTCAGTACCCAGGCCCAGAGTTCAAACCCCATGATCGACGAGAGGGGGGTGGGGTGGAGCCCAAGGAATATGTGTTTAGGTATCCAGAGGGCACCAGTGGCTCACGCCTGTAATCTAGCTACTCAGTAGGCTGAGATCTAAGGATCATGGTTTAAAGCTAAGTCCCAGGATCAGCACAACAACAACAACCAAAAAAAAAAAAAAGGAAAGGGAGAAAGAAATGAGATCATCTAGATTCAGATGATCCACGGGAGAAAGAAATGAGATCATCTAGATTCAGATGATCCACAGAGAAAGAAATGAGATCATCTAGATTCAGATGATCCACAGAGAAAGAAATGAGATCATCTAGATTCAGATGATCCACGGGAGCGCATTAGGTGCGGAGTCAGGACAAGCAGGGCTGGTCCCAGGAGGGAGACCCAGAGGAGGCTAGCGGGGACTGCAGACTGGGTTCCGAGTAGCTGGCCTCATGGAACAGAGCAATATATACGGCCAATGTCTGTTTATTGGGAACTGGGCCCCTTGAGGCCCTTTCTGTACATCAGTACTTCTGAGACGGGGAATCCACTCTGGGGCCTGTGTTACCTGACTCACCATCCCTGGCCTTGGAGCAGGGGCCCACGGTGGGGCCACGGACACCCATCTATCTGCCCGCAGTCACAGCCGCTCTACACCCCCAAGGCCCTAGGCAATGGATCCCCATAGTGAGATGGCTCAGGTCTGACTCTGGTCCCACTTTAGGCCCCTCCCAATCACAGCACAGCTGCTGCTCAGGTGTCACCAGGGGTGGACGACCCTGCTTCCCTAGAGCCTTTCTGGAGCACAGAGGTAGCCACCTAAGTGTCTCACTCAAGACTCAGGGTGAGCCAGGACGGGACAGGCAGAGATGATGCCTGAAGCTGGGCCACCCCTGCATCTGCCACCAGTACTAACCAGCAAGGTGTGGGCACAAGGTCCAGCAGGACTGGGGCTGGACCGGCTTAGAGAGAAGAGAAGCCCAGGGCAAGGCTGCAAGAGCAAACAAGGAAGGTGTAGGGGAACAGGATTCCAGACTATTCCAGAACCCTTGAGCCATCATCAGGAGGCAGGAGAGGAGGCATATTTTTACCTCTTCATCCTTCCCACAGATGGGGAAACCAAGGCCCAGAGATACACAGGACTATACAAGTGTATGGTAAGGGAAACCTATAGATTTGAGCCAATCATCTAGACAGACAATCATCTAGGAGACATTTGTCTCCTAGGCCCAGCTAGCTGAGAAGTCCAGGAGCTTGGGAAAGAATGGCTGCCCTGCTGGGAAATGTACTAAGGCCTTCCCTGAGCCTGGAGGCAAGCACAGGCAGAGCCCAGCCATGGACCAGGGAGACGGAAAGAACTGGCATATACGCCTCCACTGTGTCTGACAGACTCCTCCGGGAGTTCACAGGGAAGAAGTGTCTGAGGCTGTGGAAGGCACGTCCATGCCAAGGGGCACTGTGTGGCTACCGTGCTGCTCCACCCACACTGGGGCCAGCTCCCCCTGAGTAGTGGCTGGGGTTCCTGGGATTGGGCTAGGAGTACAGGCCTCAGGGGCATCCCAACCCCGATGTGGGAAGGACAGGCAATGTGGGGCACAGGAAGTGTTGGGCAGAAGGAAAGCAAGGTCTGGCTAGAGATATGATTAGCACTTCAGGCCCAAGACTGGGGTTCTGACTGGACAGTGTGGTCCTATGAGGAATCTTCGTGTTACTGAGGGAGAGAGAAGCGCAGACTGTGAGCGTAAGGAAGCTGTGGGAATGGAGGGCCATCGTGAGGGTGGGGTGGGGAGAGGGGCCTGCCCAGAGGGAGGGAGCCAGGCCTGCATTCTCACACTACCAATTACCAGCACTGTCGATTTGGACGGTATCTCACATGTGCCTGCAGGATGAGAATAACAGCATCCTCTTCAGTGGCTGCTGAGGATACGACAGTTAACACATCCCAAGTCCTAGAGGCGCACCTGGCACCAGGGGTGGTACTACATCCGACGAATGCCAGCATTCCTGTTTCTGCCATCTGAGCACTCACTTGTAACTGGCAGCATCGTCTATGGGGAACTGGCCTGGGTTTGAGGTGGAGCCATTCCATGAGGCTGTGAGTGAGCAACACAACGCTGCCACTGTCCTCTTTACAGCTGGAGAAGCCAAGTGAGCAAGCACCACCTCCAGCTAAGCTGCATGTGTGGCTCCACGTCCTGGCTACTTGCTCCCAAAGCCAAGAAACTGTGCCTCCCCCTGAATAGCCTGACCTGAAGACGCTATCTTCCAGGCTGGCCAGGTATCCCGATGCCTGCACGCACACATGTGTGCTGTTCCATGCTGCAAACAGCAAGCTGACACACTCCCCAGCACTGGCTTATCACCTAGCCCCCTCAATCTTGAGCACAGCACTGAGGACTAAAAATCCACATTTCAGCTTTCCACAGATACACCAAAAAGCTCCTGGCAACTGGGCACCAGTGGCTCATGTCTGTAATCCTATCTACTCAGGAGGCTGAATCTGAGAATCACAGGAGAGTCTGTGAGACTCTTATCTCCGCTAAACTACCAAAAAAGCCAGAAGGGGAGCTGAAGCTCAAGTGACAGAGTGCTAACCTGGAGCACAAAAGCTCAGGGACAGGCCTACGCCCAGAGTTCAAGCCCCAGGAACAGAACAAACAAGCAAGCAAGCAAACTAACAACGGCACCATAAAAAAAAAAAGCCTACTCCAGCTCTCAGAGGAGAAATGTCCTCAGGGAGCCTCATTTCTATCCCTTCGGAGCCAGGAGCACTTCCCCAGAATGCTGAGCATCTGTGTGTTCTCCTCAGACACCGACAGCCTCTTACTGCCCTCCTGACACTCACTGGTGAGTAGGCCTGGAACAATTAAGACAGGGAATGAGGGCAGAACTGGATTCTGCTAGCCTCGTCAGCCTGCCTGGTCATGTATAGCTGCTCAGCTACAAGCAGCTAGGATATTCAGGGTGGCAGGCCCAAGCTGCTCTTATCAGCTGGGGGCCTCTGCTCCCCACCCCACCTTGTCACATAACCTTTGTTATTACAAAGAGCAGCCCACCTAGCCTACAGGAAAAGAGGAGGCAGGTCAGCCACAAGCCACCCCTGTCATGTGCCAAGTGCCCCCTCCACACATCACAGGATCCTGCAGCCCTGGGGTCTGGGCAGTGGTGTCAGCCTTGAGGTATCTGGAGGATAGATGCACATACACACACATGCAATGAATGCCTGGCCTTGACTCAGGGACCCAGAGGCTCCCTGGATGTTGTCCCTTACACAGGGGGAAAGGACGGTGCCACAGGCACCATGGGAGGAGTCAGAGTCTGCCCTCTGCTCACTAAGAAGGGCTCAGGTTGTCCTAGCAGAGGAGAGAGAGTGGGTCCGAGCCCAACCCTGGGCCTGAATTCTGGCCTGGGGAGGCTGAAGGGCCTGTGCGGCCTGTGGTTACTTGAGGTACACAGGCGCTGAGGGAACGAGTTAGGGGAGAAGTGCTGAGGG